ACAATATGCAACATGACCTAAAGCAATTATAGCCACTATAGCTCTTTCTATTCAATTCCAGAACCAAGAATATGACCTTTATGAACCATAGGCACCAAAGACTTGGGCAATATTTTCATCAGGGAAGAACTGGGAACCAAAAACTGCTACTCAATGGGCAGTTATAGTTATTTTTTGAAGCCCATTTCCTTATCAGAGAACTATTGCTTAGACTTCTAGATAAGAATCTTTGATGAGAGCCCCAAGTCAGCAACCCCCTTTCAAGATCCCTCCCTGTTCAAAGCTTTGTCTTTTACTAAAACTCTGCTTTACTACCCCCTCCTTTGTCCCCAATTCTCATTCTTCTTGATTGTGAGACACAAATTTGGTGAACTCAGAACACTTTCACTGTAGTGTATAAAAAGATTTTTAAAAATAAGTAGATGAAATTATGCCCTTAAATTGTTTGTGCTTTTTCCATCACTTAATCATTTTTTCTATTACTTTGCTCTAATATTTAAATTTAATTCTTTTGTTGTAGAAAGAATTGTCACTAACAAAATTCAGATAAGCACACACACAAAAAAATTTTACTAAATGTTTTAACATTTTCTTCCACCAAGCATTTAATGATTAGAAGTAAAAAAAAAAAAAAAAAAAGGCTTTTGTTGCTCTAATTTATTAACTTTATTCATAATGCAAGAACTTCCTTGGAGTTGAGAAGACAATACCCAAAGACTGGAGTGCTGACATGCTAAGCAGTCTTAAAATTGCCTAAGTATCAAGGTACTTGTAACCTTGTTCTCCTATCCCAAGTATAAGGAGGAGCTTCCTATAGAATATACTTATCTGACTGAAGAAACTTACCAATAGAAATGCAACTCTCTTAACCCCTTTACCTAGGAATCTCATCAAATAATCAGGAAAAATTGTCCAGTAGAGAAGAGCAACTAAAAGACATTATGCCCAGACTTCATTTGTTCTTTGGAGTGTAACTCTGAGAAATCACCTAATTAACTCTATAATAAGACAAAACTTTGTTCCTGTGCAGTTTAGTCTCTTTTTTTGGGAGGTGTTGGGGGAACCGGCTCATCTCTTCTTTCTTGGACAGGGGCGAGCCGGCTCATCTCTTCTTTCTTGGACACAAATGACTTTTCTTAAAGCACACCTCACACCCCTTCCTGTGGACAGTGCCGCGGGCGTGACAGCAGTCAGCACGGCCCGGCTGGTCTCTCACTGCCTGAGATGCCAGCCGTTCAGGGTGGCCCGGGGACAGCCGGCCAGGTGCCAGCAGAGGCCCCAGTGCAGAAGCCACGTGTGACCTCACCTTAGGACGACCTTCGAGGGGAGAGGGCCTTTCCATGTCTGCCCTCCCTGCGACAGGCTTTCAGCACTGCGGACCGCCCAGGTCACCACAGGTCACCACAGGTCACCCCGTCCCAGGCAGGCTCTGCACTCCCTGGGGCAGCAGCTGGTCCCCACCTGCTTCGTGAGGTTATGGAGGAGCCCCAACCTCGAGACGCTTTTCATTTCAAAGTGCTGGTTTCCACCTTGCAAAGTCAGGCCCCTAGCGAGCACCGATGC